AAGTGACTGCCAAGTGCTGAGTCGTCTATCACTTAGAGTCAGTTCCCACTACTGCTAATTACAATTCCCATAGCTCCCTCAGAAACAGAGACAAGGAAAACCTCTGGTAAAATGTCCTTACCATTGTCTATTCAAAGTACAAACAGCATGAAAAAAAAAAAATCCCAACCAAAAAAACAAACCAACAAAAAACTCATACCCAGAAGCCTGGAAGTGATTTATTGAAATGGAATTCATTCCACCTTCTCTTTGTTGTCAACGAAGGAACAAGAGCAAAATACCTGTCCCAGTTCAGTAAGAGTCTTCCTGTCCATAAGCAAAGAACAGGAAGATATAACTAGGCTGCAGGGTGTACAACATGAATAACTCATGGCACGTGTGGACCTGTCTGAAAGACAAAGCTAGCTGGTATTTTCAAATACCCCCTGAAACACCTGGACAATGGTAGCGGGGGGATATACTCAGCCTCACACATCCACCCACTCAGTCCTGGGAAAAAATGCACACAGCTAACTCTGGGCAAGACATAACGTGTGGGGTGCACAGTGGACAGGACTTGCGTACGGAACGGAAATTCTGTGGAATTTGTCTACATCTTTCAAATATTCCCTTTGGTAAAAAGACCTGGAAGAACTTCAGATTGTTGTGGTTGCACTGCTTGCCCCAGCACTGTTCACGAGATTTGAGTAAGAGCTATTGAGAAAGACAAATGGACAATTGCTTCAAGCCCTCTAATTCAATTAGAAATTATGGAGCGCTTTAAATTTATTTCTTTCACTGTCACTCACAAAAGGTTTCTTACGCACATAGAGAAGATAATCCAGTGTAAAATTACTAACTCTTCTTTACCCACCTTCACAGTGGAGTTAATGCCTGTAAAAGCCATTAGGGACACTTCAAAATTTCACAGCTTTAGTTAACTAGGGCTCAACAATTCTACGTGCGTGCAAAAATGAAGCAAAATCTCTTAAAGTACAGTGGTGTAGTGTTCAGTCTTCCTCACAGGTAAAGGAAGATGTTAGGCATAAAGTTATATTTTAAAGTTTTACCCTAAGGAATAAGTTTTCAAGTCTTTTTGTTTGTGTCTTTGAGTAGATTACATGTATTTCTCTTAGGATGATGCTGGGTTCCACAGCCATAAATCTGATGTTTTTGTAAAGAGCATTGTCATTGATTTGTATTTAAGGGCACATTTTTGCTGTTGGAAGACTATGGAGATGTCCAGGGAGAGAGGAGAGAAGACAGGAAACCAGACCAGGTGGCAGAGTGTAGACCCAGAAATTGGCTTGTCAAAAACAAATAAGGTTCTGTTTCGTGTTGAAAAGTTCAGCTGTGAAGCCTGAGTCACTGTTCCCAAAACCTGCCTGTGTTCAAGACCTTAGGGAAGCAAATACGAAGCAGAGCTGTTCTCCCAGTCAGGCCTTAAGTGGCTTCCACTCTCCCACTTCCACTCACAGTCAGATTCTGCCGCTCTGGCTTCTCTTGAGTCACACTGCTTTAGGGGAGTAGCTTCACATACAGGAACGAGACAATCTTCGCAGCACGGGGTGGTGAAAACTACAGCTTCGCAAAAGAAACGCGGTCGCAGGTACGCGACACTGAAACGAGGAAGACGCTGAATCTGCTGACGGTTACTTTTACAGTCAAATAAGAGGAGGAGTCAGTTTATAATTTACAAACTAGCATTTCTTACCCAATTTCACAAGCTGGGGCAGGGAAGTATTGCTGCCTCTTTCAGTACAAGCAGTCACTGAAAGGTTGTAAATGTCCCCCGGAGGCAAGCTCAACACTGCAGTCATCGCATTACGTGTTACCTACAATAATTACAGACACCAACTGCTAAATATGAGCCAAACCAGATATCCTTCTTCTAAAATTAGTCTGGTCACTTAATATACTACAAAGAAAGTTCTGTGCATCACAGCAGATGTCTTCTGCATAGTCTGGACTTGCTACATGAACCAGTTCCCACTGGCACTGTGGAAAGCCATAACGTGCAACAGAATATCACAATGTAAAAAAAAAAAGCCAGTCTTAGGCTGTATGTTCTATATGGCCAGTGAAAATTTAAGGAAGAAAGAAAAATCTCCCTCACACCAATGAGAGTACTCTTGCATCTAGGTTTTCCAAGTTGTGCAAAATGCTAAACAAGCCATGGATTTGAGTCCATTGCAGTTTTAGAGGAACTTAAAACAGGTCAGATATCTCTAAGAAGAGTACACAAGACACATCTAGGCAAGCCTTTAGATAGTCCAAGAACCTGCAAATTAAATCTGGCTGGGCAAGTCTAACACCCACCTGGAGACCTGTTGACTTGACAATAGACCTCATGGCCTGACTTCAGTCATCTGCAAGTTTGAAACCAGATATGATCAAAAACCAAGCTGAGCTTCAAAAGATTGTGAATGAGTTCTTCCTATTCTTTTATGGGTGAGTAAGCTCCCCACTTCTCCAGGGCCATGGAGAAGGATGCAGAACTCAGATACTGCAACAGACTCTTTTCAGAGTGCTTGTAGACTATCTGCAAAGGGCACATTCAGGAATCTCATACTGATTTTCATAGTCACTTAATTTTCAGGCTGATGTTTTCATTTTCAAGAGAAACAGACAGTTCTGAATAAAGACTAACAGGATTATCCACATTATTTTCATCACTTCTCTAAAAACTGACCAACTTCTACAGAGTCTTGGGAAGCACACACATAGCAGGAAAAAAAAGTCATCACTGCCTGATAGTTTTACCTATTTATTTTTGTAATCCCACAAGAAGAACAACTGTAATAACAATCTTAATAAATCAGATACAGACTATAATATAGCATGATTTCTAAAGGAAACTATATCTGAAAGTGACTAACGGAATTTAGTAGAACAGGTACACCCTGAAGCCTGCTAGCATGTACCCGTATACACAAATATGAGCAGGACCATAAAAGTTAGCTAAAAATATTGCTGCAGGAATTTCCTAAAGAATACTTAATGGGTTCCCTTGTCCTGAACATAATATAAAGACAAACATTTCTAAAGACTTTCCTAAAGCTTCGAAGTTTTATTTGCAGATATATTCTATCATAGGTACCCTCTAGTTTCAAACTTTTAAAAATATAAAATTACATATTCAATACTAATTTTAGTTCAATTTCATATTCAATGCTTATTTGAAATTTACTTGATCTAAGATCTCCATGTTCAATGAAATTTAATGGCACAGAAATCAGATGTGTCCTGTAAAAATAATAACCTTACAAAGAACATGACTTTTGGAAGGAAGAGAGTGGAGCACAAGTTTTTTAGAATTCAACTGCTAGAATATTTTATTTGTAGGAAAAAAAATTAAAATGTAGAGTTTTTCCTTCTCATTTGAAACAAAGATCCACATATTGGAAGTTCCTGCTATTCAGAAACGTCATGTTTTTCACGCTTCTATTAATCATGTAATTAGATTCATGCTGCAGCAAGCTCCAGATTGGTGCACTCTCGCAGCCACGAGGAATCCAATGAAAGCTAGCATGCTCCATAAAAATCCAAACGAAAATTGCGGCTGAATTTGCACTTAAGCTGAAAATCCAAGATCCACATATTGGAAGTTCCTGCTATTCAGAAACGTCATGTTTTTCACGCTTCTATTAATCATGTAATTAGATTCATGCTGCAGCAAGCTCCAGATTGGTGCACTCTCGCAGCCACGAGGAATCCAATGAAAGCTAGCATGCTCCATAAAAATCCAAACGAAAATTGCGGCTGAATTTGCACTTAAGCTGAAAATCCACTTCCAATTCAGCATTTGCTGAGCCTTCAGCTATAAAAGGGAATCCCTTCCCTTGAAAAAGACCAGACACTTTCTCCCTGTCACCGGTTTAAAGGTCAATAGTGGTGTAGAAGACGGCCACAGGGTGTATGAAGCTACCGTGCTGGCTGTATACACTCCTGCGCTGCAGTGCTCCACCACCACTTCAAACACTTCTCACTGTACGGCCAGGGGCTGCTCTTTTGCTTCGGGTTAAACACGTGTCTCAGTACCCTGCAGCAGCATGACTAAGCCATAACTGGAAACCCCAGATTTCTTTTTCCAAGCGATTTTTAAATGTGCTCAAAGAGTTCAAGAGAATGTGCCAAGAACACAACATCTGGCAAGTTTTCTAAGAAGTGCACACGTTCTGGGTGAAATCCTCATCCCACCAGTCAGTCAAAGTTGTAGTCAAACAGTAAATGAAAACCACATAATTTATAAGGATGTCTGTTTCATAAAGTAAGAAAATGGGAAGTGATAGCACCTGGCCTGAACGAACTAAAAAACCTCAGCCAGCAGCGTAGTCTAGTTATTACTAAATAGAAATTGAAATGACCATATCTATTCACTCAAAAATACTCTTTACGTTTTATTGTCTGCAGCTCAGAAATTTAATAAGCTATTTTAAAATTTTCATGTAAATTATCAACAATTGCGTTGGATCACCACAGAATCATTTTATCCACTGGCTGTTTTGCGAGCTTAAGTATTTGGAAGTGTGTGCTACCACTGTGAAATAACTTTAACTGATCAGGCTTCTACCAATCTTAATCAACTTGCTTAAACTTTGTAATACAAAGTTATCAACTCCGCAAAAAAGATACAGTGAAATGAGCAACACCTTCCCCACTCATACTTACACTCTTCTTGACTTTTTTCTTTCCTTCTGCAACCACCATCCAGTGCAGCATCCTGGAATGAGAAAGGTCAGTACCATCTCCTCCATAGCTCCAGGTGACGTACAAAAGGTGGTTGTAATATTCTACGGAGGTAATCTCGGGTGCCACTGGTGCTGAAGGAAGAAGGAAAACGTATTACACACAGGGTCTAACACAGCTGATTACAAGTCCAGTAATAAACTTCTGCCAAAGGATACTGCTGGGAAGAGAGGATCACAAAGATAGCAGAAACATATTAGTAAAAGCATCTGAGCCCTAGCTGAAAGAAACAAAAAATGGCACTTAACCTCGGGGATATCTGGAACAAAAATATACTTTTCTTTGCAATCTTTCAGTTAAAAACAAACAAACAAACAAATGTGACGCTACTGGCTGAATATAAACCATTTTTTGAGTCAGGTTAAAAGCCTCAGATACCACTTCACTGTGTTGTAACACTGAAAAGAAATGACATTCAGTGACAAATAAATAAGAGTTGTCACACTGAATAACTTGGAAGGCTTTTCCACAGGAAAAAAACATCTTCTCTTCACTAAGCTTGCATCTTCCTAGGAGGAAAAGTCCCAAACCTGAAGTTTTCCAAAGAATATCTTTTTGCATGAAAAGTTATGGCCAGTTTTGTTCCCAGGGTGAAAGTCCCACGATCACAGCAGGCAGCTGTCAGCTGACAAGCCGCCTGAGCAGCAGGCCTCTAGTCTTAGAGGCATATGGCAGCTATGGCATTAGGCAAGGGAGCTGTTGTCCCTCCTCCTCCTCCACACACCCAGCTCCTGCCCAGCCCCGCCAGCCCAGCCCAGGGACCTGCCAGCAAGGCCTCAGCTCCCTGGGCAGCCCAAGAAGAAACATAGCAACCTCCAGAGCAACTCCTCTCCTCCTCAATACATAATTCTTTTATATATAATGTTATAATGATTATAAAATCAATAATACCACCTTAAATAGGTATTTAAGACAAGCAAGAGAACCATCTCCTGGAGGTGCCTCTCTGTTAATTGCAGAGGGAGTACAGCTGATCAGCTCACCCTGATTCCCTAATTTGGAGGTGCGGGTCCGCAGTTAGGATTTAACTTAAAACCGAGCGGAGATCCAAAACTGAAAGCCAGAGATCGGTAACGATCACAAGCCCCCTTCTCCAAGGGCTACCCGTGGGATAACCAGGATAAAGCGGGGAAGCGCATGAATCCCTGCGCTTGGCAGGTTCTTTAGGAGCGCCACGGGGAAAACGACACGGACCGATGGATCTTCCTCTGAGCAAGCCCCGCCGGGTCCGCCCTGTTCGTGCGAGGGGCCCTGGGTGCCGTCGGAGCCCCCCGGGTGCCGGGCAGGGGAGCAGGGACGCCGGACGGCACCGGAGCTCGGGTCTGTTTGCAGGGGCCACGAGATGTCAGTGCTGCTCTGACGAAGGCTCCCACGACTTTTGCATCGAGACGTTCGTGAGAGAACAGATTCGCTGAAGTAATCGCTGAGGAAGGCAGCAGATACAACACACGGGCAATTTAGAGCCATTCAGAAACGTTTAGTAAGACTTCTCTCTCAAATTAATCTTGAAAATGTCCTTCTATGCTGTTGAGAGGAAGCAACATTATTTAGCATAAAATATTTAAAGTAACGCTTCTTTTAATTTGTAGAGTTCCCGGTCCATCCCTACACAAGGACTGCGTATTCCTTAGAATTTAAGGTCATGAGTGGCATGAATCTTATACGCCAATAATCATTTCCTCCTATACCTATTGATACTTGCTTTCCTTCTTCATGTTCCCACAGCTGCTTGCTTTAGGCATCTGGCAGCGAACCCCTAGGATGTCTGAAGGGAGACGAAGGGCCAGGGCTTGCACGCTCGGCTCCCCTAGCACCACGTTCCACTGGGAGCCGAGCAGTACGGACAGGCTGTAGGAAGCTACATCCCATCGCTGACCTGGCCCAAAGCAAGAGCTGAAAGCACCCACGGGACCAAAACCCAGCAGCTTCACAACAGACGTGATACTCACCAACAGTCTGTTTGTCTGACTCTTTTTGCTTCTCCAAAGTTAAAAGCATTCTCATCGTAAAAGGAAATGGTGGTGGTTTAAAGTGCCCTTGCTTATGATTGCTTTAAATCCAGCTGTTCACAGCAGGTGGCATTAAAAACTCACGGCTCACCACAGCCACGCTGGCAGCACCACAGTCTCTCCCTGCGTTAAAACAACAGCGTCCAACTGTAGCTGCAGGAGCCGGAGAGGACAGATGCTGTTTCTGAGAGGTCTTTGGGATCGCCCAAATCTCCCCCATTCTCTTGGGGACATCTGACCAGCTGCCATGGAAGAGAGCTATATATCATCAGGTCTCTTCTAATACCCTTTTCATTCCAGGCGCTGCAGCTCAGTAAAGCCCCAGCCTAGCTACACAGACTCCACAGGAGCAGTGGGATCCTGCGTTAGGGACATGATTTGTCTTCTCTGAGCTTGTTGCCAGGCTTGGTCCCCAACTCCTTTTTTTCTTCTGCCTTTTTTTTTTTTTAAAAAATGTTCCCGGTGCAGAGATTAGCTTTCTAGTTATACACAGAAGACCTGACAGATGGTGTACTGTCAAGAAGACTACAAAACTTTCATTCTAGTATTTTAAAATATAGGGATTTTTGGTATGGGGTTTTCTTTGTTTGAATTGCTGGCAACCCATGCAGGGGAGGTAGCGTTGCTCAGAATGATGTAGAAAGGGACCAAGTGCTTCATAAAACCACCTGTCCTCTCTCTGGGAAGAAAGGGGCTGAGGGTGATAAAGGAGTCTGCAGTCCCCTGGTAACGTGAAAGAGCGACAAGCAACACCTACTGGGGACAAATATTTCAAACCTGCAGACATGAAAAATTGGCATGCCACTTCCTCAGAAGTCAGCCTGACAGCAGCCCCTGGACAAAGCCAAAGAGACCTCCCATAATAAGGCAACCAGAGGACACGAGTGTATTTCATGCTCACATTCAGTGGTGACCATCTATCGATAAGTGCTTGTAATTCGATCAAATCAGAGTTGTTTTTTAGGACTCCTCCCTTAAAATGCTGTGATCTGGCTCACTGCTACGCAACGTTTTCATCAATAGTCTGAAGGTAAAAGCACCGCTGATGAACCATGCAGGTAACATGGCAACCGGCAGAGGAGTGGAGGATTTGGACAGGGCCGTGATTTGAATTATTGGCCCCTACACTGGGCCTGCTCAAACTAAACGTATTTCAAAGCGCCAGGTGCAAAGTGGAGTCTTTAGGAAAAACACATGCAGACAACACTTCCCCAATGACAAATTCTGGAAAGCAGCTACCCTAGGCAGGAGTCAGAAGCCACAGAATAGAAGCAAATCAACACAGACCTCCAGTGTGATGCCACAGCAAATGCAATCATCTAGATGCACAAACAGGAGAGCATTGAATAGCGAGCTGATTTTGCCTCTGTAGGAGTATTCAGCAGGCTGGCATTACACTTTCAGCTTTCACATACTTTGGTAAAGACAGTAAAAATCAGAGAGGCAGAATGGGGAAAAAACGTAACATGACAAACTGCCTCACTGTGAGAGCACCTGAAGAGTTCAATGGAAGCAATTTATCAACAGAACAGAGTGAACTAAATCCTGTATAGAGAGGGAAAAAAAAGCTTTACATCTCTTCAAACAGTAAGAGAAAAGTGTAACAAGAATGATGGACTGGATATTAAAACTAGAAAAATTCAGATCAGAAGCAAAGGATAAACCTTTGATAATAAGAGGACATAAGCAATGGTACTACTTTCCAGTTGGATATTTTCCGGATATTTTCACTTAAGACCAGATGACCTTTTCAAAGAGAGGTTTTGCCAATCACAAGCGGATGACAATATCTAAGAGATTAAACCATTTCTGATTTTGTCTACATCTGCTAGTTAAGGAGTTGATCCATGTTTCATCTACTAGCAGTCACAGTCTTTACTTTCCCCATACAGAGATCCAGACTGATCCTGACGATGGCTTTTATTTTGGAATAACCTTTATCTCCCTAATTCCGGCTGCAGGTTTCTGGAGACACAATATCGACGTGTGAGGGCCCCACTGGAACATTTCCACTCTAAATACTGAACCTGGTACCCAAATCAGTTAGAAAAGACATTTCTTCCCTCATACAGCAACCAACCAGCTGGAAAATTGCTCCCTTACAGTGCTACAGAAAAGCTGACTGATGCCAAAGGACAATGAATATCCCTGGAGACCCTTCACGGGGCCCCGGTGGGTGCTATGAGTTTCTGATACACTGGAAAAGCACCAGAATTTGTCAGCAGTGTAGCTTGGGATCAGCTGTCTCAGGATGGGAGGGTTTCTGCTGACTTCAGTGGAGTTAGGACTCAACCCACTAATAGTTTTTCTGTCATGGCTCTGTTGAGCACAGGCACTATAGTAATCATCATTGCAAATGGGTCTTAATCAGTTCCTTCCTCAGATACACCCTTCTAACCTCTCGCCAAAAAGAAAATCTGGGATCAGGCTAGTATCCGTTTTGGAGGGAGTGGCTGGGACCTTGTAGGCTGACTTTCCTCATAATTTAATTTCTACATCTAGAAAAGAGGAGCAGGTCATACCTTATTTCCTTTCACAGTGCATCTGAATTATTTACTGCTCTCAATCACCTTCTGCAAGGTGAACTAAACAGCGGTGCATAAAAGTAAGATGATTCAATAGGGAAACTTGACTTCACCAGCCTGGATGCCAGGAACACGCGGCAAGGCACTAACAGGACCTCTCACATGCTGTTCCCTCTACGGCTGATCTAGTTGACACACGGAAGATTCAAACCCAAAGTATTTGACAAGAGACCACGGAGTGTGTTAAATGCAAGGCCAGCCCCAGAGGGCGATCCATGTGGTTACATCAATTCACCGCAGCTGAGAATCCGGATTACGACTTACTTGCCAGCACCAGTTTCCCAAGGCCAACCTACCCAGCGCAGCTGCAGTGCCTTGATTACAGGAGCACCTTTCTCTCCTCACAGCAAGCAAGTGAAAAACATCCAGCAGAAAAGGCAAAGCTAGAGGACACGAATAATGTGCTACTGAACATCCTCCTCGCCTCCGTCTGCCTAAACGTGCGGAGCTCTACTCCATGGCAGCTAAGGTGCGGTCACGGCCTGATCTGTGGATTACTGGGAGGGGGTAAAAGCAGCAAAAAGCATCTGGAAACACTGCAAATATATGGAAAAATGTTTCATAATATTACCAAACTGAAGCATGCAGATTACGTCTTTACTCATTAACTTCTCAATGTGTAAAACATACAGTGTCGTAAAAGATAAGCAGGATCACTAGCCTTCACTGGAGCGCTGCATTCAGGTGATGGAGAAGACAGGAACAGACCAAAAACTGTGCTTTGCACAGGAAAATTATACATATTAACTTAAAGCAGGCCTCAGAGCTTTGCCTAAAAAAATAAAACAAACAAAACAACAAAACCCCAAAACCCCCACTTAGCTGTTCAACACCCTGCCTCGCAAGCCCGTGCAGGTGAAACGCAACACCTAAGCCATACTTTCATCAGTTCTGCTCCCAGGAGCATTTCCACAGTCTTTTCAGGCGGCTGCTTACCTGTTATGAAGCTGATGGTGGAGCTGTCACAGCAGCTCAGCTCTGGGTCGCCCCAGGTCACCATGGTGACCCGGAAATTGTAATACCAAGCAGGCAGCAGGTTAGCTATTCTCTGTACAGGGACAAAAGACAAACAGCAGCTCAGGAGAAAAATCACCATCATGAGGTGAGACTTCTAAAATACAACAATATTTATAAATCTAGAGCCCAAAATAAAACAATATTTCTAAATCTAGTGCCCACACTCATCTTACTGAGCTCTCGTTCCTTAGTCCAGTGGAAATCTCTGAAATTTGGCACTTGAATTTATTAAAATATCTGTGCAGCAAGAGCAAACACAGCTGTGACGGCTCCGCTCTCATCCACACGCACATGGTCCCAGGCCCTACGCACCACGGGAACCTCTCACTGATTTCCAGGGCAACGAGAATGATTCCTGCAGAGCAATCTTCCATCGCAAAATTCTGAAGGTAGAATATTTAACTGGAAAATGTCGGCTTTTCTATTTTGATTAAATAGGGTTTGAGGATACATTAGAACCAATGTTTTCGACTCAGCTATTGTCACTTGAAAAGACTTACTTTTTTTCCAATTTTCAAAGTGTATTTCACTTTGTATTATCATTTATTATAAATGAAATATGAATGAAACATAAATGACTTATGAGACTTAAATTATATACATAAATAAAAATATAAATGAGGATCTAATATAGAATATAAACACAGACATAAATTAAGCATAACATGTATTATATTTTATACTATAATATTGTGTGTAATATTTAAGTTAAAATTCAAATACTTCCATTGACAGAAAAATACACTTCAAACATTGCATTTTATGTTTAAATGAAAAGCCTTGGATATCATTAAAATTCAAAATAAATGCAAGTTGTAAATAATGAACATTTTCAACAAATCTGAAATGGATCTTTTTACAGATCTCTGCTGTTTGCAGTGGCCTTTTTTTCCTAGATACTAAAAAGCAATCCAAAGACAGGGTTTGTAGACTATTCTCTTTATGCTTTTTAGAAAAAGTTGGATCAAATTAACATCAAAACCTTGAAGATGCTTGGACTTCTGACATGCTCCTGGTTTAATACTGAAAATACCAACATTGCTTTGAGAATTTTAAAATAAGACGCAGAGCGTAAAATGAACTAAGCAGCAAAATACAGTGAAAGGCCAAATTCTGTTCCAAAGGTTCTCATCAAGTGATAACCCTTCAGGAAACAATTTTTTTTCTAAGCTGTAAGACACCTTGATTTTTTTATTCCCCTGCCTTCTCATTGGGCTTGACAACCACTCAGAAATGTCAGTATAGACTCATAAAATCATAGAATGATTTGGGTTGGAAGGGACCTTAAAGATCATCTGGTTCCAACCCGCCTGCCATTGACAGGGACACTTCCCACTAGACCAGGTTGCTCAAAGCCCCATCCAACCTGGCCTTGAACACTGCCAGGGAGGGGGCAGCCACAACAGACTATAGATCTGTAGATCATAAGGAAATTTGTGGGACATGGTGGGGTTCTGGAGCATCGCTAGAGAACCCAAACAAAAGATCACCAATACCTACGTGTACAATTAAATGCCGGAAGAGAAGAACAGGCAGACACTCTTTTTCTAATTCCGGCTTACTCTTTAAAATTATTCTGTAAGTAATGCTCACTTTAGCTGATATATGACATTGTCACATTTCAGACTGAAATTAAGAGAAAGGAATTCTAATTTGGCTTCCTTGAACAGGATTTGCAACAGTAAGGGACAATATCAACTCATTTTCTAATGAACCGCATTAAGTCTGGAAGATGACATTACTTCTAAGATGACTCGGATCACTCAGGTATTAATCTAATTGTGCTGACCCATGATTACAAGATATTAATTACTCATTTGGTAAGTTATTTTTGTTTTTAATTTCCTTGGAGATTTATGTGCTAGATTTACAGTCACATACCCAATTACAGTTAAGCTGCTGTAGCCAAAATGACTCCACAAATGGTATTATGCAAATCAATTACAGTAAATCACTGTGGCTCTCACAAGCAGCAAAAGTTATTGCTATCATTTTTGCATACTCATAACTTTCTGTACAACTAATTTCAGCTGAAATTGCTTGCTCTCTTGTGCTACAGTGAAGTCTGAATAAAATCTGTTCACCTTCTATAGGAAATAACGGAAAGGAAGAGGAAAATTTCACTTTATTTCTGCAAAGATGTGTGTGCGTGTACGTGTACGCGTGCTCTTCTAGGGATCAGTCTCCACCTAACTGAAATCCTGGCACAAGCCTTTGTAGCTTCAGAAACACAAAGGCTATTTTCACAAGAGCATCTCTGCAGCTAAGCCTTTCGGATGGCACATTACAAGACTAGCCCGCAAACCCCAAATCCATATTATCAATATTAATTACGTAGATAAGGCTTTGGACTACTCCCCCTGAGGAGATGATGGAATTCTTAAAACCCTGACTGACAAACTGACCCACAAATTGAAGCTGCCTCTGGACTTGCCGAACATGTCCATTTGTCAACAAAAAAAAGGCTCATCTCCTACCTCATCGCTTTGCTTAAAACTTAGCACGTTTCAGCTGGCATTCCCTTACTTTAGAACAGAAAATGCCTCCAGCATCCTGGTCATTTTCTCTGCTTTGCCTGGAAAAATGTGCCAGGCCTAAAGATATATATACACATTCACAGTGGAAAGGCTGGGCAAAGAAATGTTGCAAGGTGCCATGGCCACACAGGCATGGGAAAGCAACATTCAGTAATGGTCACTTTACCACAGAGGCAGTTAAGGAGACGGTTGCTGCTATTTCATAGTAGGTTGTCCACTCTGAGGTCATCGTTGATGGGTTGAAGTAAAACATTTCTACAACATATTTCCTGAATACCCCAAGGAAAGGTCTGTTCCAGCTCAAAACCACAGCAGTGGGTCCCAAAGGGTAAAGCGTCAGATCCTTTATTCCAGTGGGCACTATAAAAGAGAAATTGTGGTTAATAATGTGTGTGTTATCAGTTACACTTTATTTTAAAATTAGACCTTTCCTTAACCAAGTTCTATCTATTTCTGGTTTGCCTGTGACTTTAATTCCCAAGAGCTTCCTTGTCAAAAGCAGTCGAATAACATTTTTTCAGCATTTGTTCTCCAGTTTGTTATGTCTACTTTTTCAGAATCTACTACAGGCTACTTGGCATTGCCCGCTTAGCATGAGATAAAGCACAGGGCTTGCTTCTTCTTAAATGGAGGGTTCCATCACACTTCGGAAATCAGCATGTTTAGGAGACATTTTGAGTTTCTCAAAAACAAAACCATCAAAAGCCATAACACTCTGGAGGATGAAGACCACAAGGAAGCACAGTTTTTATGTCTAGCCCTCCTTCCCTGGGGAACCTAAAAGTGCTGTCAGGTATTGCTATTCTTCCCTCACAGATGATGACACTCAGAAAGAGAAGTCAAGTTATCTGAAGAATGTCACGTAAGGGTCAACTTCTGCAACCTTCACTTGTCTGGAAAGCAATTATTCCTCATGATTAACTGAGGCTACTGAAATCAGTACTTTGCTAACATTTGCAAGCGTTGCAGAGCCGAGGCCAGCACCCAGATTACTTCAGCCCATGTTAGCTCATGATCGCCCTTCCCTTCGTAAGTCATTTACCACATCTTTTCTTTGCTAAAGTGTTAATACTTACCCAGTGAAAGCAAAGCTTAGTATAAATATGAGGATGATTGAATACTTTTAAAAACGTATTTTATCTTACTTCAGTTTCATTCATCATTAATCACCACTGATAATTTCACAGAACAGTTTGTTTTGCAGTTCTATTTTAATATCAAATTCAATATCCTGTTATGAAATGAAAACTCATACAAGTGTTATTTTACTGCATAAAAACATCCCCTTTATAACGAGAAATGGATGAGATGTTTTGTTTAGAAATTAATCACCATTTTGAGTTTAGTAAGAACCTTTTATGGTTGTGAGGCGACACAAAAGTGAGAAAATAAAGGAATTTATTTACTTTGGGAATACATGATTTTATTTTCCCAAATGGAAAAGGAATTTTTGAGATTTCTGAAGTAACTACAGTGAGAAAGAAAATCAAAAGCATTTATAAAATTTCTGAAATGATACAGAATTTTATAATAAAGGATGTATATTTTTTTACTTACTATTTTTTCCTTTACTGAAATATACCATACTCCCTTTTCAAATTTTAATTCAGACCCAATTTATGAAAATATATAAGGAGATTGCCTAGAATGAGAAGGCTCTCACCATATTTACTAGTCCACATACTTGCTTTCATTCAAGGATTTGATTCTTAACAGGTTAACTTTGGTTTTTTTCTGTTTCACATTCTTCCTTACATCACAGAGAGGAAGCAGAAAGAAAAATACTGAAGATCTCTAACTGAAGACCTCTAACTTTCAGCCACCTGCTCTCCTACAAAGCAGACTATTTGTCAAAAGGAGAAGCTGGGTTTCTCAGGTTTAATATTTCTGTGCAAATGTAACTCTATAAACTCTTTCTCTTTGCCCTTTCTCATCTGCATACATTTTGTAAAAGTGGTAAACTTAACAAAATAAATGATACTGAAACTAAAAGGTACTGAATTCTATGTTAAGTGACTCTATTTAGGAGCCTGGTGGAATTCTGAATTACAGGCATGGGACAGCAGCTCTGCCTGTTGGCCATAAAACCATGTTATTCAAAACATTACTTTCACCCTCAGAGGGTTCCTCTTCTCTTCAAATCTCAAACCAGAGAGCATCAAGATCCACCACTAAACTCAAGCAAATCAAGGCATACACAATTGAAGATGGTGATGGTCATGCAGTATTGTAGGAGATACACCAGCTCTCCTGGCTATTAGCACTGTGGCCTTCAGACTGGGCCACATTACATCCTTCATAAATCACATTCGCCACAAATGTCTTAACAGCAGTCCCACACACTTCATGAGACAGTGGGAATGAATCACCTCTAGGACGTGCCCACCTCTCTCCATGCACCAAAGACCACCTGCAGCTCAGGCTGGCTACACGTAGTGAGGCGACTCCCACCCTAAATGACACAGACCACGAGCACTGCTAGAAACAAACGTATATTCAGGTATCCAAGGGTGAAGACGGCTCTTTCCACGGGGCGCTCTGTGTGTGAATCCTGGCCATAACTGCTCTCTAGTTAGGTTTGGTACTAACTTAATATTTAAAGGTGAAATAACTGTCTTCCAGAGAAGGAGTATTTTCCCCGCTTCAGTAGTGGGCTAGACAATACAACAAAAATATTCCCAGTAAGTGTTCGTTACATTTGAAATAACTAACATCACAATTCCGAACTCCCTCATGGGCCCTAGGATTTCATGAGTATATTACACATATTTCAGAACAAAACAAAAGAAACACATTTCAAACAGTAGATGCAGGGGTTACCAATAGAAAATGTAACAGGATCAGAAGGCGGTCCAACCAACGGTCCTTTCCGTAAGTAAACCACAACTTGGTACTGGGCACCAGGAACAAGATTTTCAATGAGGCTGCTGCTTGAATTCACCTAATAGGAGGGGAGCACATCAGATATGAAGTATTTACTTGGTTAATTAAAAGAATGTTGAGACTGTACTTGAACTAGTCCAGTTACAAAAGGCATGATTTTGAACGCAGGGTCATCAGCAGCTGAAACCCCATTCATTAAGCCCAAAACGGCAAAACTATGACAGTGGTCAGGACTGACTTGACAAATGATCCAACTCGGAGAATTACCCTTGCCTTGCTGTGTAAGGTCAGCGGTGACGCTGCAGACCCGCTTCTTCCTACTGTCAAAGTTTATCAAAATATTCCGGCTATATTATTCTTATTCAGGTGATCTTATTTAGGCTGGAGTGCTTAGACCGTGTGTTTTCAATAAAAGCCTGAGGTTTCTCATGGGCCACCTGACTCATCTGCAGCTGTGTGAGCTGAGAGCAGCATTAGAGGAAAGCTGTCTTCAGAATGCAGGTGTTCAGTGATCGCACGGTGAAATCCGAGAGGACTCGCTCTCACCTCCCCTCCACAGCACTACAAAACCTGGCTAAGGGACACTGCGATACTTCTTTTCAGTCTGAAACGTCACCGTTAAAATTTCTGCTGTGGCGCACCAGGTATTGGTCAGAGCTGGAGGCAGAATGCCTGACCAGGTAACTCCTGGTCTGATTCAATGTGAAAAGTCTTCTCTCCGGAAGAGCCAGCTAACAACAAGTGCACAGAGCAGCTTTGAGGAAAGGACTTCATATACCCCTTCTAGAACTGCAGGCTGATATTTCCTACTAAGATTTTCTTTGCAAGCTTTCCCAAGCCTGTCTCGCAGCCACCTTTACACCGGTGTTGTATCACACTGCACGTGACCACATCAGTGCCAGCAGAGATTTAGTGAGGAAGGGAATTTGTCTTCAACAGCTGCTTTTGAAAACTAAGTCACTTTCAAATCATGCACAGTGGCAGAAACGGATAGAACTCTGCAATGAATTTTGCCCTTTGCAGCTTGTCAAGGAGAATTCACACCAATAGGCATTAATAATTCCAGGTACAATAAGCTGATAAAATTTGATCAGAAGCGGTATCCATATTTCTACTGACAAAAAAATCAAGTAACTATATTTAGACCTTTCTGCCTACATGCAATAAACACACATTTACTTTTACAGATATCTTGTTTATTCATGGATTATCTTTAGGTACTTGTTTTTGAGTTTGTAGATTAATCTTGTATTATTAGCTTTAATCATATATGCACATACTTGCTATCTTTGTTTTAAAATCATGTACTGTATTGGTTTGCTTCCTGATCTAATGGCCGCACTTTTAATAAATCAAAGGAAAATAACACAAGAGGATTACAAGCTGTTTCTGAAAGAAACTCTCAAATTGTCATCTAAAGACACTTCCAAAAGTTTTCAGTTCATGGAAATCTTGGAATAAAATTCAAAATATTTTGTCAAAGGTTCATTTAAAAAGACTTTTTTAAAGGATGCAGACTCCCTGTATTAACTCGCTTGCAGGGCTAATCACATAGTTGAAGGAGATGAAGATTCACAGGGAGTGTTAGCAGCCTCCTTCCATTCCCATGGGTGAGCTGAGGGTGCAGCCAGGCAGCGCTGCAGTCCTTTGCAGACTCCTCCATCACACACATTTAGAGAGTCAGACAGAAGTTGTGGCACTGCTCAGAAAGCAGCCTTATCAGCATCTTGCTAAGGTAACTGAGATGCAGGCTAGAACCTCTTTCTGACTGAGGCCACAGGCCACTGATCCATCACAGCCACAGGATTTGGCGTAGGGTTGCACTCACTAAGGGTTTTCAGGTAACAGAAAACTGCCATACTTTGGGGTTCAGGATTCTTGATCATTATAAACACGCCCCATGCAGCAGCCTTAAAGAATCGTGGTCCATCCAAATCACAGGTAGTCCGAATTGCTACTGACTTCCCAGTGCTGACATCTTTTTTTAATGGATGAAAAGAAAAGCTGACTTCTGATCACCTCTAAACCTCCAGAAAGTTTACACTCTGATTCTGTATTCTTATGCAGGATATCTAAGAAAGAAATTATGCTAGTTTGATGATAATTATGCACGTGAGCACTCTGCTTAATACAAATGATTACACCACATGCCTAAGTGTTATTAGGACATGGCACCATTTTGCCTACTCCCACAAAAATGTCTCGAAGGATACAACATAACTCACAAGCTCAAAGGACTGGCCACAATCAGTCCAACAGAAACACAGTTTTAACACTACTATGGTTTACTGCTCACTTTCATTCCCGAAGGCTGTGCTCTCCCCTCTGCATCAGCCCCGTCCCTTTGGACTTCAGCAGGGAGCAGCCACGGCTGCGCTCGGCAGCCCTGAGCCTGATAGAGCCCTTGGGCACGACGACCCCAAGCAGCAGGATGATTAGCTATTTTTTTCCTCCATTTGAAAAGGCTCCAGCTTCCACCCTTACCTCAGTGCAGTAGTGTTTTTCAAGCCTCTGACTCTCCTTTTGCTTCCGACAGGTCAGGGAGACCACAGAGACGATGGTGCTGTTGCCGCCGCTCTCCGGGGATGCCGTCCAGGCTGTCAGGGCAGTAGTGGAGCTCAGCACCGTCACGGTCACGTGCTGGGGCTTTTCAGTGAGCTCCTCTATCCATTCACCTGTGGGGCCTGGGACATGTCCCAAAAGCACATGTGAGCAAGACACTGTACGCGTTTGAGGCACATACGTTAAAAGACCCTTCTTTCACGCACTTGTTTACTACTAGTGAGAGCGGCTGGGGGGGCAGCACCGCCACAGCCCTCAGGCAGCGAAGATGGCAGCCCCCAGGAAACAGCCCGTGGCCGGTGCTATGTCACCTGTAGCGGAGCAGATGACGAGAGAAATGTCACTGTTTGAAAACTCGGACTGCAATATTCTGTATTGCTTATCAGAAACCACCCAGCAGTATCAGATTTGCTCCAAGGGAATGTTTAAAAGCAGTGATATTCAATAACAAAGAGATCATTGGCAAATTCTAAAGAATAAGCGCACAAAATATTTTGCCTTTCCTCATACTAACATACCCTCCAAGCGTACTACAGCCTTCAAGCATGAAAATCAAGTTTATAGAGATCACCAGCGTGAAGAATATAATTCTCCATCAGACATTTTGAAGCACTTGGTAAGAACACAGGTTTAAATGGTGATAAAATAATAATCTGAAAATAACTTCAGCTAGACTTGGTCAAAATTTCAGATTTCATGAAAACCATCAGCATTTGTTGTCACTTTTAAGGGATGCTTGTGACAGCTCTCTCCTTGACATTCCTTCCTCCACGTAATTCTAATGGTACTTTATGTTTCTTGAGAAAGTAAAACAAATGCTAGAGCAAGAATATGGTGTAAGATCAGCCTGTAAGATTTGACAACCCATACTACTATCTGGGTGCAACAAAAATGTTGTGTAATGCAAGCCAGTAATGTGACAGGATGATTCACTGACCAAGTGATACAACAATAAGATAAGGCTGAAGCTATGAGCAAAAATTATTCACGACAGCAGACCCACACCTACTCCGGTACAAAGAGGAACTCGATCATTAGATTAGTCTCTAGAGCCAATGGACGTATGTGTAGCTCTTACTATTCAGAAATTGTTTCAGCATTGGCATTAAGGGAACTGAGCTTCCTCATGACATGACCCAAAGCTGTAGTCCCCACACAAAAAGCCATCTTGATCAGACTCATGAAGAGAAATGGAAAAGCAATTTCACCTTAAGAGTACTTGTGCTCATGTCAGATTTGGCACACTACCAGAAATATGTACGAAATCCATCTAAAGTACTAAGGATCTTGCATTTGACAGAACACATAAGACAACTGCCAAGAATCCTCATCTGGTTCTAAAAGCCTGCAAAAATAACAGACAAAATCCAAAACCCCAAACATTCTCATGTACTACATGGAAAACGAAAATATTCATTACATTCAAGTTCATCCCTAATCTAGCAATCTACACACCCATACTTTGGATTAAGATCTTCTCATTTCTCTCACGTCTCTGTCCCCAGTTCATAGACTTCATGGAGGACACTGTATTGCATATTGTTTAATGGAAATAAGTCACACCTTGTAAAATGGAATGACATTTGGTACTAATAGCAATGCTGCATCGTATATATACTTGTATACTTATATATACTTTAACACTTTCCATATAATGAAGCTGTCTAATAAATATCCCTAAAGAAAACCAGAAGAGAGTGAAATTACAAGAGCAAAGACCCTTTCTCTCATGTTCTGTTTCCTCTTTCTCTTTGTTTTCAAGTACTGTTTCTTTCAACTATAAAGTTTTTAAAAACATATGAGCACTAGTAGAATTCAGTTACATGCAGTCAAGCGTTATGATGAATTTTAGCCTAAATAATTAGTATGTGTAAATGTTATGAGCTACTAAAGACACAATTTTTGTTAGTAGTGTATTTATGTACTAGAGTACATTTTTTTAATGAGTATTTCTGCCAGCCTTAGCTACCATGTCTTGTTACAGCATTCATGATTCAGGGGAGACACCATCCTTACCTTGCACAGGTAAAATAGTGCTGCAAGTATTCCCCTGTTCTCATTGTATGGGCATTTTTTAGGATATATCTATTTCCTTTTGTAGAAAAAGGTACAAGGGTGACCACAGTCATCAGAAGGATAACAATCTGAATTCACCAACACCTGTCTCACTTGCTGATCTAATTGTCAGTCATGATATTCGTTTACGCAGTAGTGTATTATTACTTTGTCTTTTACTAAATCTTCAGTTAAGAAAGCCTGGGATTCTACAGGGAAATAATAAATTACTTTTTCTCCTCTGAATTTAGCAGGCTGAACTATTTCATCTACTGTAATTTGCCCTGTGTTCTCTCAGAGACCATGTAATTTCAGAGCTCAGCGTTTAATTGTGCAATTCCCACACTCTCAGCCCGATGCCCTTCATCCCTAACCTGGTGCACACAGCCTCCAGGAGGAAGGAAGCTAAGTATTTTCAAGAATCTCTATAACCACCGACTTAACCCTCAGAATTGAATCCTCTCTTTGAAAGATGCAAGAGGGGAAACCTGTTTCAGTGAGCCACTTCTGAACACTGGGCAATGGCTCTAACCAAATACCTCACCTGCTTTCAGTGCTTAGCTCTGCCAAGACAGCATGATGAAGGCCCATCCAGGCAGGACATAATACATAACATCTCTGCACTATATTTCCTTCTCTGGCACAGGGAATTCCAGACGACCAGACTCCTCTGATCCTGCAGCAGATGCCATAGCTGCCACAGTGGTCAAACTCTGTGCATTAAAGTTATATCAGTCTGGGAGAAAAAGACAGATTTGTTGAGATACTTACTGATGTAAAAGCTAAGTGTTTTTGCCGATTGACTTCCCCGCACTTCACAAGAGCCAGAGGAGCTAAATGTTGTTACAGACAACTTATATTTTCCTGGTTCTTTCAGTTCAGCAACAAATTTGTGAGTGTCCTCACTTACTGTCAAAAATTCCGTGGAGTTCTCTAAGTCAGGGGGAAAAAAAAGTGTGGATTAATTGAAATTTGAAAGGCTCCAGCCACTGAGAAAATGATTTATATCAGAAATGCTAATACTCTTTCTGCTGTGGGATTAAAAGGCATCCAAAAGGACTCAATTTATGTAGGTAGGTTTATTTCTTGCCATCAGCACAAGAGTAATTAATGACCAAAGTTGCAGTATAGGTATAGAGGAACAATAAACCCAGGCCAAATTTTCATTCCGTAGAAGGAATGATAAAATAGGGCTGCCATGAGTGTGCAAGTGAAAAACAGCACAGCACAGAAGAAAAGCAGCTTCCAATTTTATATCTATTGCATTCTTATTCTGCAAAAAAAAGCACTTGCCCTCAGAGCCGGAAGGCTTACAAAAACTACTTGTCAGGAAAATAAACTCAATTGGATAAAAATAGATTTTAAATCAGAAAATCTTTAAGCAACGTGGTTATTATCTTGCAGCTTCATCACTTGAAAAACCTCCCCATTCTCCACCACAGCCTCCTTATGGCCTAAAGAATACATTTAGTAGCTGTCCTCCGAGACAACTGTTAACCTGAATGTAGACTACCTTTTCTGTATGCCCCTTCCAGTCGAGGTCCCCCTGTGAACCTCTCTCGGTGGCAGACAAAATCACACGGTGTAATGTACCTTCTTCATCTCAAATTTCTGTCAGCTGATTTCTCCTTTCTCCGATACCAGAATGGATTTACAATCACTGCAGTGTAAACAGTGCGGCAATACACACAACAGTATCAATCTTGTTTAATAAAAGAGAATTGCAAACTGCAATTTACCCCTCCCTTACTTTTCTGACGCCCAGCCAGAACTAGATGCTACTCAACACCAAGAAACTTCTCCAGAAATACAGGTGATCTAACAATGCCCTCTGAAGCACAGTAGTGGGTAATTAGTAATTCGCAGAGAGGACAACCACCAATGGAATTACAGAAAAGAGGTATGAAAAGGGTGTAAAGGCTCTGTTTTACCTTCCCTTTCAATATTGATATGGAAGCCATCAAACGCCGTAGGCGGCTTTGGTGGTAACCAGGTCAGCACCATTTGCACAGGAAGGAAGGAGGGGGGCTCTGGCGTGAGTCTTACAGACGTGTTGACATCATTGGCCTCGTAATCATTGGAAACTGCATTGACAAACTCCTCTTCACCCTCTGACGACTCAGCTTCGTTAGACCACCAGTATGGCTGCGACGTGGTTTCATACTCAGTGCTGTTATAGCGAAAGTCTGGCCAGGCTGCAGATCTGTTTGCCGCTGGAGTTTCAGGTGGGTTGTCAGAAAAATGGCCAAGTTTTTCTTTCCTTATGATTTCTTGTGGTCCCATGAATGATTCTTCCGCAAAATTCCCGCTGTGCTCTTCCCAGTTGTTTCTGTTGATCGGTACAATCTGAACAGAAATGTTTCGAGGTGGGTAAGGAACTAAAAAAGAAGCAAGGGTTAGTCTTTTAACAGGTATGTTCTGTGCACCTTACGATGTTTTACGCCACCAGAGAAATACTTTTTGCAGCAAAACAATGCATCTAGGGATATTTTGAGATAACTTGTTCTTATTAAGATTCTCCCTTCTCTTACACATACTTCTAGCAGAAGCAATTCTAGTGGGATCAAGATGAGTGTAAACTCACAGAAGAATCACGACTTAAGAATAGCAGGAAGAAAAGCAGATTTGAAGTCACAGTAAATCAGACTTCAGAGCTATTATAGCAGCAAGGCTACTCAAGTGTGAATTTGTAAGAGTAGATCTTCATTTACTTTACTGTGTCTTCCAGAATGATCTTGGTCATGGGAAAAAACACTTCTGTAGAAATGAACTGAAAAGCATATGCAAAACTAATATACGGCATAGGTCATATTTAAAAAGTACAGCCTTCACGTTGCTGTAAGGCTTTTTGCATGCTTTTAGCAGTCACCTTTTCACAAGCATTAAATATCAGTTTAGATTTTAATATTTGTGAAAGCTTGATCGTAAGATTTGGGTCTCCAGAAGACAAGATTCTGGCACGCAAAGAAGTCACTTCGACTTATGCCAGGAGGTGAACACACAGCATTTTGTCTGACTTACTGTAACTGCCTGTCTGTCTGTACTTACACATGGTAAGTGCAAGAAGCCTCTGCAAATAATTTTGATCAGCAGCTTTTAAGCTGGCACTTTACAATGCAGGAACTTATTCACCTCCCCTGTCCCAGCCACAGCCACTAATACAAAACCAGACACTACAATCTCATTGTAGTTAATGCAAAAAATGAGGGATGGGAAGGAAGCAGGAAAGAAAACTGTGATCCTGTTGGTTGCATTCATGTGGTTCAATATCTCAGCAACTATATTTAGGATCCTTAGGACAGAACTCAGCTGGCTTGAGTTGGCTTTGCTCTGTCCAAGGCAATGAACCAAGATAAGCATATTCATCTGAATGTTTAGCTTTTTGATTTTACTACTGGTTCATTTCAGTTTGGACCCTGGAAAATGTCTGTGGTCCAACAGATTAATGGAAAAGTTTTGGGCACTGTCCCAGGACCAAATTAAATTAGTTCTGGACCCTGAACAAAAGCAATTTTGAACCTTTGCAACATTGCTGTCTTGGAAATTAAAAGTTCATGCTTCAGGGCATAAACTGGCCGCCAAGTGGGGCAACTGACATTCTTCTCTGTGACAGAAGACCGCACAATGAGGAAGGCCTTCTCCAACAGTTTAGCTATGATTCACTGCGCAAGGAGACAGACCAGTATAGATAGATCAATAGTATGCTCAGTGCGGCTATTCCTGTGGCTTAAAAACTAATTCCTAGCACAAGGCCTAGGATATCTCACGTGAAGCAGAATGTATTTTCTAAGCAGCAAGCTGTATGACAGAAACACTCCTGCAAATTTCCCTTTGCTCTGTATCGTACACATAACCCTACATACCAGCTGCAGCATCCTCCTCCCATGCTCCCAGCCAGGAGCAGCTCCCTGGACTGCTCCCACACGGACCCCTCCTCTCTGTGGGATCAATCCCCTCCCCACAGCAGAAAGGAAAGCAGCCATACATACTTGGAGCAAATGGTACGTAACAATTTTCTTCACCTGTTCTGTGCTGTTTGGGCTCATGCTGGACCCCGCTGTATTCCACTAGCGTGCTTTTGTTGAAGGTTGCTTCTGAAACCAGCTGAAACGTGATGTTACTGTAGCATATACCCGGTAGCCAGTGATTGAAAACTGTTTTGCCTTTAAAGAAATCTGCAGAAGGTTTAAAAAGAAAGAAAGAAAGGAAAAAAGAGGAAAATGCATTATATGTTCACTTTCTGATAATGCACCTGCACATGCTGCACTGGCAGTGTTTCAGATGTTTAAACCTTGCTCAGCCTGGTCTGAGACACGAAATTCTAATAATTCAGTTTGCCAACATTTTTCCTGGCTGTCAAAGCCACTTTGCTACAAAAAAAAACCCACCAAAAAACAAAAAAAACCCACCAAAAAACAGCACAAGAAACACAAACTACTTTTCACAGGAAAGGGAACTGCATCTGGCAACCTGTTCCACCTGACACTGAATATCTCAAAGAGCATCTGACAGTTTCTGCAGACCTTTAACCACTGCACGCAAAAGCCTCTTTGGTCTTTTGCTGACTGAGGCATAACGCTCTGGGTAGATGCTCAAAGGGCCATCCACCGTGCAACCAAGTGCACGCCACGGCACTGAGAGCTGAGCTCACATCCACCATCAGTACACGTGCGGGCTGAAGAGAAGTTGCTTCAGGCTATTTGGCTGCGGGAAGGAGTGTGCGAGTTGATTAGTGAATCTCTTAACTCAGGTTGACTTTCTTCTTTATTTCAAGCTGCAGCATTACAGTCCCTGGAACCATGTATTCGCTGCAGAAGAGAAAAACTACTGCCGGTACCCCTTTTGCTCTCTGGAAGGAGGTCACCTACTCTTTTGTGCTATGATCCAGAATCACCCTTCCTCACTGGCACTTCACAGCGTTGAAAATGGGATTTCTAGCCCCACTTTGTATTGAAGCAAAGGGACTCCAAAATTTTCTGATCTCCTTCTGGAGATTCCTGTCTCCCTCTGCTGACTTTAGAGAAAGCTTACAGTGACCAGACTTCTACTTTGGGAGCCTCAGTTTAGTGCTTCAAACTCAAGCCAGCGCCTACGGGATTGCTCAAAGGCATTTTACTGCCAGTATGGAATGCTAAACCGTTGGGGTTTCAGGGCCCACTGCGTATGCAGGTGCCTTTCTCACCTCTCAGGATGCTTTCCATGAGACAGTCCCATTTGCATCTCTGAGACAGATGCTATGCTTAAGTTCTACTGCAGGGCAAGAGGGAGTTCAGTTATAAACACATAAACAAGAAAGCAGAATTTGCTCTAGTTAGATTGCTCAGATGGCTAGATTGGTTGTTTAAATTGTTTAGCCTGACTGTCTAGATTGTTAAATTGATTTCCCTTGATTAGATTCTTTTAAGAAAATTGAAATTTATAATATGCAGCAGGGTTTATTAGCTCAGGGACAATACTGAATGCTACAGTAAGATACAGGATAGTATTATTAGCACTGTGTCACCGTATGGTGGTACAGAAATACCAGGTTTAAATCCTGTGCCAGGAATCGGGTATACTGAATGGGTTTCCCAGCTCTGGGGCATCCCACAGCTCTCCTATCAGCTATTCACCAAAGAGGAAACCTTGCCCAGAGGGAAGAGGAGGGGAACTTTTTTTAATGCTTTCAGCTGGCACAGAATGTCATCCAGCGATTCCACCAAGCATATCTACAAAGCAAGAACATCTGAGTTTTGGGTTCCTTTCCTTCTTCCTTTTATTTTGTTTTGGATTGTACAGCAGCATGAAGGGTTAAAAAAAGGTGGAGATTTTTTTTTATTTTAGTGTACGTGTTTATTTAGAAGCACCAGAAATTGAGGATCCCTTCCCAGGAGTATTTCAGAACAGATTAAAAAAAAATCCAGACCAGCCAGTCTTTCTCTACAATCCCAGTGAAAGGAAGCATCATTAGAAGTAGGATGGGAAGCAGGTTTAAATCCAAAGTGAACCGCCAGCTCAATTCAAAGAACCATCCCTTACTTTGTGGTATAAAAGTTTATATATAAACAGACACATTACCTGAAACACAAATCATTACAATCAATACATGTCAAAACCACACCTAAGACCACTGTTTAAGATGTTTCCAGCAGAGTTAGCATTAAGTTTTAGTGGAATAGTTTCCTCCTACCTTTGTACAGCATTGTTCGGTAGTCTTTTCCTTCCCAATAGCTTATATTTACCCTGGTAAAAACATTGTACTTCTCTGGGTACTGAATTTCAAACAACACTCCTGTTTCTGGAGATGGTTTGTAATCATAGATAGAAACACTGCTCACAGGAAGGGGTTCTAAAGGATATACAAATAAAAGGAAAAAAGCAAGAAAGGAGCAGATTAATAGGCAAACTGAGCTCTTCACACATACACACCACCGATGAAACAAATGGTTTTGCTAGGTATGGCACAGGCACTCTTCAATCTACCAGGTGATCTGGGGCTTCACAGAGGTCTGGGGCAAAGCTACTCGGGACATTGTCAAAGCCAACACTTGTGTGTTCCCCCACAAAACAATTTATGCTCTTGATGCTTACACTTTAACAGAAAAACATGCTTATTTGCCATAAAAAATAGGGTAGAAATAGCAGTTATTACTTAAGCACTCGCTTACCCCAGTCATCACCCCAGAAGTATTTTTTTCTTTAATGCTTGCCAATCATGCAAAAGTGCCCAGACAAAACCAACAAAACACTCGAAATTGCTCATTGGAATAACTGTGAACTTACAAGATTAGCTGAGAAACTTATCAATGTAATGGCCAAAGGAAGCTACCTGAGTGAAGATTTTCTATTTTGATACATATTCATTTCTTTATTTCATGGCTAATTACACAGTCCCCGTTCCTACCATATCCGAGAGGGCCACCATCTTCAACATATTATCCATACCAAACTTCTACAAAATACAGCAGTACCACTACCATTATTTTACAGATGAAGGACAAATGTACAAAGAAGTAAAGTGGTTTACTGGAGGGCACAGGGGAAGCCTGTGTACAGAAGGGAGGTAAGTGAGGAACTGCCGACCCAGTGCTCTGAACTCTGAGCCAGGTGGGTTATAAAAAGTAAGAAAAATAGCCCGTGTCCTATGATGCCACATCTATATTAGTGTAGCTCCATCAGCTAAGGGAAGTTGCATCCATTCACTGCAGCTGGAAGTCCGTATTGTCACTAACGATAATAGAGTCATAGTTTTATTCAGCCTCCTTTATGAAAAAAAGATTAAGAAAAACTTAGCCTTTTGCTCAATGCTTTCCTCAGTAAGAAAAAAAATGATAGCAACCCAACTATACATTGGTTAAGATGGTCAAGCAGACATTCAAAAGGAGATTATAGTGTTAGCTGAAATTTGTCATACTAACATATATTAATAGAGCTAGTTAATGCACAACACCCTCAGTAAATACGCCTACAACCTTATAAGTATTATCATGCTGATTTAGTTCCTGCACACTGTAGGGAAGAGACTGAAAAATTCAGGCTGTTGATTATCACAGCCTTAGAGGACACATCTGAGTTGCAAGTTCTGCTGTGATATGCCTTGGAGAAAAATAAATAAAATATTTTTCCCCATAGAGTCACAATGAGCAAGAGAAAGGGTAGATGAAAGGGAAGAGCAGTATCAGTTTCAAAAGTGGAATTATCCCACAGAAGGTGGAATAGGTTAATCAAAGATGGAAGAGCAAGACTCTAGTGGAAGCAAAAATTTAATCCCAATTAACAGCACAGTATTTTCACCATAGTACTGTTTCCGGATGTAATGAGAAGTGGAGAAGAAAAAGCAACTAAGAACAAAAGCCACAGATGTAAACAGAATTTCTACCTCAGTCGTAAGAAGAAGTTGCGTGGTCATTTTCAACTTTGTCACAGTGAAGGAATGCAATTTCGTGGGATTACTAAACTGTTTCTCATGTCAAAGACGCTTCATTAGATTCAGGTAAATATCAGTATATTTGTACATTAACCCCTTACAAATAGAAACCCCCAATCTCACAGATACCAACAGGCACTTTAGTGATGGCATCTGTGAAAATTTTGCTGACAATTTGTGATAGCCTAGAAATAAACAGAAGTAAAGCAGATCACGGGAAACAAAGCCTATCCTCTTTCCGCTGAGGCTTTTCCCATCACTTATTCTGAAATAAATAGTTGATCTGACCATCCAAATGACCAGAGGGTTTATATCACAGCTCACACAGCACATGATAGTAGTTTAAATGTCAATAAAAATCTCTAAATAGCACAACTCTCAGAAGCACTCATCTTTCATGTTAGCGGATGCGCCCTGGGCTTTCTTCTATCTCATTCACATCTGAGGTCTCCTTATTTCTGAAAGAATTACTGAAACTTTCTTCTGTCAGTGATTAAATTACCCCATTTATTCCTTCCTACAACAAATCAAACAAAGGATGGAAGTTATATTCATTTTTAATCCAAATGATTTTTCCTCCTGATGCTTTGATTTAATTAACCAATAATTGAATTAAGCAGTAATCACCACAGACTCTCTTTCTTGTTATCTTCCGCATACTATCCTCTCCTTGCTCATGGCTCATGTTAGCAGAGCAGCATGAGTGATCTAATGCAATTTAAAGAATCTGCCATTATCTTACTTCCTTCAGCACCAAATCTTCACATCAAACGCGATTTGCACACTGTGAAATTAAAAGGACACTCTGCAGATAAAAATAATTTTCTGTTTTCACTTACTAACAACTCCTAGGTTTATTAAACTTAAAGAATATGTAAAATGTCACTCTTCACTATCTATATTTATAATTCAGGGCATAAACAGTCGGATCTTTTTAATTTTACAATTTTCAGTGTTTAGGATCCAGCTTTTCGCAGAATTCAGTGGTTCTCAAGAAACAGCCTAAATAAAGTGTAATACAATACTTCAGCAACCTTAGAGCTTTATAAACGCTCTGCACTATATTGATATCTGAAGTCGTACTACAGAAGGGACTTAGAGGATCTCAGTGTCCCTTTAGCAGCATGTTTAAGGCACTTCTTCATATACAATATCTTTATTTTTAGACTTGCAAATTACATTAAACACACATAGACAAGCTTGCGGGATCAAGACCTAAATCTATCTTTTTTCTTAGTGTCTCAGAATCTGCTGCTCCTATAGCAACTGCTTTCCCATTGTATCTGTTTATGGGAAAATTTACTTCTGTATTTCTCGGGGACTCTACAGCATTTTGTATTTAGCACATAGCTTGCATTATAGAAACATCAAGCTAGCATAATAAATGCTGCTAACCTCTTCCTCAAATTCTCTGGAAAACTCTGGATACTAACTCCTCCCTTAATGCATTCATTCTATGACAGACACAGTAATGTTTGCCATCTGGGGTGGGGTGGGGGAAGTATTTCCATATCTATTCAGTCAGTGGGAGGAAGTCATAGCCACGGTAAAGCTTCCATTATGCTATAAACTTTAGGGATCATTTTATCTCTTGCTAAAAAGCAACGATTTTATAGATTAAACATCTGTTGTTTAATACTTTAGGAACATGATGTTCAATTTATGATATGTAACAGTGGATACTATGTGCAACTGCTTATGAAAGGGGAATGTAAGCGATGGCGATGGTAGTATCAGAGCAATGATGGTATATACTGTTATCTCTAGATTTCCACAGAAGACGACAAATAAAAAGACAATAAAAACTGAAAAATAATGTTGTCACAAGAACAAAAAGATGTATCTGTTGTTCCTGAACAGATCTAGCCCAATAGGTTACATCAGCCTTCCTATGGAAATTATGGCAGGAAAAAATACTCATATGCTTGCAGTTCTTTTTGTTTCTTTGATTCTGATGGAGAGGGTTTTTCACCTTAAAAAGGGGATAACACGGTTTGTTTGCTGGGGAAAGCTGAGCGCTAAAGGACCTAGATATCCTTCGGAGTCACTTTTCAAAATTAGGACTGCTGCAGATAGCCAGCCTTTTTAAAGAAGCGCCATGTCATCCTTCAAGAAAGAAAAGCACAAGGGGCTTAAGTTTTACATTTCATTGAAAAAAAAAAAAACTTCTGAAGCTCAGACTTCAGCAGCTCTGATCCATTAACGAGCCAGAGGAAAAGATTTGACCTGCTGAATCACTTCCTGCAGCATCTGGCACAACGACAACTGAGCTTTAACTAGGTCTAATGCCAACCGCTTTCTGAGTGCTGCAGAGAGCAGAGTCCCAGGCAGCAGGCCCGCTGGCCTCTTGAGGAGAATATTTTTTGCAGAAGGCACAGAGGAATTACACTCCCTAAAGGGAATATATTTTACAGTGATTTATGTAAGGAACCATCAACTTTTGAAACAATGAGACATTTACCACTCAAAACTCCTAATCACAGGCTAAAATAAAAAGTCAGGCAAAGCTGCACTTAAATACCCTCAGATATACCGAGATCCCGATTTCTCCAGTTCCCATCAGAGATACATTTTTCCTACAGCACACAACAGCTTTGCAACGTACTGCTTTCCCCATTCCTTCAAATGTACAAACATTTTTTCCCTCACAACAAAAACTGACAGTGAATTTGAGGGGAGCAAAAGAAAAGGCTATGTGGGTATGAGTTACCCTAGGAAGAACAAAACAAGGCTTCAATGCTGGGAAAATGGAAAATGAGTGAGAATTTCAGTCACTGATTTTACATCTGTGCTCTTCTCTCCTAAACTACTTTAAGACCAATTAGTAACAAGGCGGAACTTTATTTCAAATATTGCAAAACTATTAATTTTCTAAATAATAATTAATAATACATAAACATTTTATATAAAAACAAGTAATTATATAAATTCTGGAGTTCCTTCAAAAAACCTGCTGAAAAGCCCAAACTCCAAGAGCAGAACAAAGCAGGGTTTCAATTATTGTACTTGATACCAGAACTACTTCTAACCGTGTCCAGGCCGAAGACTGGAAGGAAGATCATTTTGATAGGCACAACACAATTGCACACACAGGAATCTGGCCAGGATGGCGAGAGTCACACACTTATTCTTGTGAAAAACATCACAGGGATCCTTATTATTAAGTGCTCAGGGTTTCGGTTTTCTGCTTCAAGGAAGTACTGAGCCCAATTTGCTGAACACAGTTTTGCTACAGAATCAGAAGAAAAAGTGTTATTTTGTGCTCAAATTCCATTTTACAGGTTTCCTATCCAAGAGTTGAATGCGTCCTGTTCATCTGTTTTGATTAACATGAGAAAACCCTGAAATTATTCTAATAAGAGACAAGCAGAAAATAAACTGTTCAGTCTTGTAAAGAAGACCCAAATTAACAATACAAGCCTCAAATGGTAGCATACATACATGCATTTATATAATGTCATTTTTATGTGTACATATTTCTGTACATATATATTTATGTGTATTTATATTTGCATATATATAATCATACATGTGTATGTATGATGCATAAAATACATATTTTGTTAGCTTTTAAATTGTCTTTCTCTTGAGGAAACTTTTTTTTCTGGACAGAAACCTTGGAGGGGTAAAACAAAAGTATTCCTTGACTTCAGTGGGATGAAGTTTCAACCTGTGAAGAGACATACCTTTTTCTTGCCAATATGCTGAGAAGCAGCACATCGCTGAGGGATGTGAACAGGAAAAAGGAAATGTCACCAAGATATACCATCGGAAAGCAGAGGTCTTTCATGACTCTCACTGAATATCTTAGCAGGCAATCTCTTTGAAGGACCTTGCTCTCATTTTGACATGCACAGTTTGGATACACACCGCTCAGTGTGAAACTCGGATCACCAGCATACGGCCAAGCTAAAAGACCACATCTCCCTGCACAGACTCCTTTGCAGACATCAGGAGGTCCCAGAAAACTATTGTGAAATATCAAAGTACAGCCTTGGGAATAACCACATTGGCATCACTGGCAATCTTGCTTGATTTATTTTGTGGCAGCCTAATGAATGAGGCCAATCTGCCACCGGTAAAGCTCTCCTGATACCAATGAAATTAGAAAAGGAATTAATTTGGTCCTGGAAGCCAGTTGCAATGTGCCATTTTTTCACGTGTAGGTTATAGATGGAATAAATTAGATAGTTATATGTCTTTGCATGGTTAAAATAAACTGAAACTGTTAAACAGGCAGAGAGAGCATATGGCATGAAGAAAAATATGAATCTATCCTAATTATTGTCTGCCAAAAAAATCAAGTTAATTAATAGTCAGAAAATTATGTAAAACAGGCAGTGGACAAAACCAATAAAAGGAAAAATACAGAAAGAAAAGAAAAATCAACTATCACCTCTCGCAGTTTTGTAGGAGAAGCCAGTGGCCACTACCTGAGCTTTAAGATCTCTCCTCAAAAGCACTGAAATACAGCTTAAAAGGCCCAGCCTGCCACACTATCTTTCCATTCCAAATTTACTTCCATTCCTTCAGCCCTGTGCTCCAAAGACGAGCTATGTCAGTAGCTGCGGCCGCTGCCCGACAGCCAGCCCCTGTCACTCTTCCCGACAGAAAGCAGGAGGCCCCTTCACGGGAAACGTGAACCGGGCTGCCTTTCTGTTGAGGTAAACCCAGTGATATTCGCTGCTCCCTTTTCATTACACGAGTTCCCCAAGCAGCGCTGGCCGACTGCCAAAACCACCGGTTCCAAGGTCTGGGCCAGCAGCAGGAAACCCCGAGATGCTGCCAGCACAACAGCCTAAGACAGGTGGTGAAGAGGGGTGGGCTCCTCTCCAGCAGAGAGGACACCGTCGAGCCTTGGGGAAGGCAGCGCGACGTGGTATATGTCCCTTGGACCCACCAGCCTCACGCTCTTTCGGGAACACCCCCCGAGCCAGGAATGGGAAGTCTGGAGCTGGCTTCGATGGGCTGAGTGACACCGGCTGCCTTCTTCCTTCAGAGCTTCCCCGCACAGGAGCGTGTGTTCCATCTGCCATCCCGGATCACACCTTCCCCTGCTACCAGTGACCCTCGCGGGCTCTGGAAATCAAACAGCAATGAGCCCTGCTGCACAGCTGCAAGTACAGCGTTCAAACCCCACTGGAAATGTGCAGTGAGGCTGTTTTTTCCATTGTATATGACACCTGATGCATCCATTATTTTCTTTTAAGAAAACAAACAAATCATAAAATAGGAAACTGGATTAGAATTACTACTTTGCAAGGTTAAAGCAGACAAAGAAAAGGAAATTCAGGCTGCCTATGAACCCTTAAATTGCTCACTACACATATATGTTCTTGCTCATATGCCTTATGAAAAACTTGCATTACCCAACAACACGATATTTTTCCCACAGGACCCTTCATGGTTGTCCTCATCAGGGCACAACTTGAGCATACAAGGGAAGGCTGAAGAATGTAAAGATGATGCAAAATCTGGTTATTCCTAAGTTTCAAGCACCTCACTCGGTAACATATGAGGGTACTGTAACATGCTTTGACTGTTCTTGCAGTGGATGGCATTCCTCACTGACAGAATAATAGAAGTACCCAAAATCATAACCATGCCTCATCTGCAAGACAGCTAAAACTGTCCACAGATCCTAAGGTGCCCTTTAGAGAAAAAAAAAACAATCTTGAATCTTCTTTGATTCAAGAAAAATCTTAAATCTTTGCAGCACCCAAATTAGTTTTATCTGTCTTTTTTCGAATCTGACTTCTTTATATTCTACAAATTGTTTTCAGGCTGGCACATGGAAACAGTTATGGAGCAACAGCAGAGCCAGAAATACATCAGGAATTACAGAGAAATCTGTGGTGCTTCGCATAACGACACAGCAAACAAAATCACACCTCTTCCCCATAGTCAATGCACCTGGAGGTAGTAAGAGACACTACTACAAACGTGGTCTCCATCACAAAAACCTCCAGCTGTACTGGCAGAAACACACAGTGACTACCACCTGCTCTCCAGGTTTAGTACTGCTTCCATATATTAGCAATCAAAGAACATTGTTATAGCAATTGAAACAATATACCTCACCACGTAACAGGAGTGCTTACACTGAAAAGTCAGTTAACACTTTTTATGCCTTTTACTACATTTTTGGAACTCCTAGTTCAAAGGGTTTAGGAAGAACATCTGGAAAGGAGGTTCATCCATCGCTTAGTTCAGTATATTAAACCTCCCCAGTCAGTGTTCAGGAAGGGTCACTGCGGGGAAACCCACAGCTGTCCCTTTCTTCATGCCCAGACCTTGTGAATTTTCACTCATGAGCCTTCTCCACACATATTCCCTACCCACAGGGATTCATCCTACACACAAGCAGGACCTATTGAAAACAAAATAACCCCACCCAACCTTCTCCACAAGAAGAACTTCTAGGGAAAACAACCACACAAAGCGAAGAAACAGAAGAAAAAAGAATAAGGTGTTACTTACTGGTTAACACAGTGATTGATCTTGCTGACTTGGAAACCATATTTGAGTTCACTACCAACAGAGTTACTATGTAATATAGGCCATGGTATTTGGCATTAAAAACCACAGGGGCAGGTAAAGTGCTATTGAATTCTTCGAACTGGAAAAAGTAGTTCTTGGATTCTCCAGCTATCTTCACAACATATACAGAGGATGAGCTCACCACATCAGATGCTTCCAGGGAGACAACGATACAATTGTCTTCTCGGACAGCAACCTGGAAAGGTTCTGCATTCTGCAAGACAAGAATAAAGACTTTGCTTAAGTAAAATTTATTATTTCACTTTTACGCATTTCCCTTGGTATTCATAGGCTATTCCTGTTATATTTGCGATAAAGTTATGTTTCATATTCTGCAAGACAGTTAGCATCAAATCCTAACAATTTTTTCAGAATACAATTCACAGTCAGCCAAAGCCCACAGGAATCTATCAGGCCAGTCTCTCTGCAGTGGGGGCTGGTTCCTCCCGTGTGCTTTCTGATGCTCTGGCTACTCCATCCCTTACATCCCGAGGAACAAAGCCTCCACCATTCTTTCCTGACAGAAGGTGGAGCAGAGCAGAAGCAGGATGAGATTTTAAAAAGGGTACCAGGGGCAAGAGGACTTCCAATGAAGTCACAAAATGCAAGTCACTTAAATCCCCAAAAAAGAGATGATTAAATCAAGACTCTTTTATCTTGCAGAAACAGGAACATATATTCATCAGTGCAATATATTCTGAAACCCTGCAACTGAAGAGAAATTTTGGGCACTGACTAAGCTTTTCCAAATATGCTCGTTCCAGCAAGTACCAGGTGATAAGCAGCTCTCAGCACTACGTCCATGGCTTTGGTTCGCACTTTTCATTTGCTAAGATACACCATTTCATTTTCAATATTTCTTTTCTTAGTAGTAGAGAGAAAGGAGCAATTTAACCTTGTTTTCATATATCATGAGCATGTTAAGTCATTGCCAGCTGAAAACACTTTCCTTTTTATTAATTGCAAACCAGCTGCCAGCAAGAAGCATTTGTTCTCTACAGGAATTTCAAGAGTTTCATGGTAATTAATGAGAAGGAAAAGTTCAAGCTTTAATCAAGAGTTGCCTTTTTGTTTATTAGGCCATGCTGCTTCTGCTTAGAATTTTTTTACTACAGAGAAAACTGTAATATCTGCTGTGTTCAATTCCCAGCTCCATGGTATCTCTTTCTCCTTCATATTTCACAGGCTGAGAGCTCTAGTTAGTGGGCAGGGTGGGAAACCATGGCTAGTTTGCAACTTACTTATTCAGTCAAGTTGTTCCTGCACCAAAGAGCTAGACACCTTCTTCAGAGAGTAATTCTAGCAGCTTGGCTACCTCCTGTCTTCTACTAGTTTTGTTTAGTAGGGATTCTTCCATGAGAATAATCTTTTTTTGGATTTACACTGCTGGAGCCAGGCTCCCTATTTGGAATCCACACATATGGTGTTGCCACAGCCTGGCTTTGAAAAAACTCCCAAAAATCCCCAAGAACAAAGAATTGGTTCTAGGACTGTAAAATTTTAAACAACTGTAGTTTGCCTTTACATATATTTATGCTTATATCATTGGGCTTTGAGACTTCACAGTGTCCCTAAGGTCATATCTGACTATATAGGCAAAACTACAGGCTTGAGAAGAAAGGACCCCAGCAAACCCACTCATCTGACCCAGCGCAGAGAACAAGGTACCAAGTGTAGAGTAAGCCCAGCTCAAACAGGATAACCAGCCTGGACAGCTTGAAGCCTGAGATTAAAAATCCAGGCAATGCAATTTCAGATGCTGATTTTGAGGTTTGCTTTGATTAGTCTTTTACAAAATGGCTTTCAAGTTGCTAAAATGACACAAGTCAATGTTATCAATGGATGAATACTTTAGTGTGGAATTCTGGGTAATTTTTCACAGATGGCAGAGCAACTGCTCCAAAAAGTTTACAATGCAAGACTACAATTATGCAAAAGCTTCCATGTGTTTTCCTTAGCCTCCGCTGAATTCAACAGGCTTACCCTTGAGCAGACCAAAATATCACATTTCAAGTGTTTGTATTTTGCCTTAAATCCTGATCCAGCATTTGGATCCACACGGATTCAAACTTTTAACTGGGGATTATGTGTAGATCTGGTCAAAACCAAGTAGAGATTCTTTTATCCTTCTTCCTCCCCATTCTCCCTGAACTAAAAACATGTGTAATGATTCCTTCTTCAGCTCTCCCAGCACGGGAAGACAGGAGGAGAAAGGCACCCACAGACCGGCTTTCCAGCAGCATGGACACTATTGTATCACAGAAGGCATGGTTACCTTCCAAGGCCAGGCAAGGAAAGACAGACCTCATTCAGCAAGGTTATTTCTACATATTGAGCTTGAAGTGCATGTATAATCCAACAGAAGTCAGTGGGTTTTGACCTTCCAAAGCCTTGCATATGAATGCTTCACTGGAGGAAAGAGATCGGTGTTATCTCTAAAACTCCTCTAGCCTTCCCTCGGCTTTGCCGCTGAACTGCGTGGTACTAACTTGAAGTGCCTACCTTGCTATGAAGAGACAGACAAGAGAGACCAACAAATTTATATGTGCCAACAAACAGTTCAAAGCAAGCTCCTTGTGTATGGTGGTATTATAAATCATTTGTGATGTTAATCAAGTACAGCTGGAAATTAAGCATATAATTGCAGAGTTATAGTCACTCCTAGGATATAATTAGGTGCTTTCAGACTGCTCATACGGGGTGTGATTTTATTCTTTGATTCTTCTATGGGTATTGTATTAACCATGTTGAAGACCGTACTTTCATTTTTGCCCTCGCAATGTTTTCTTGAATTCACAGCAAGTACCATTCAGTAAAAGATCCACTAACCTTCTTCAACAGTTCTCACATAATTAGCAGAACATGCTAGCTAAATACATAGAAATCTCACAGACATATGCTATTGTTACCTATGACAACACCTAACTGGGGAAAATAACTTCTTCTGAGTGCTTTACGTCCTAAGCATGTGGGGATTGTGAAATGATAGCCTCCTTCCTTCCAGTGCCTGTGGCCAGGTGCTTTTGAACCACTGGCTGTCATGATGCACGGGCGTTTTTTGAGTGACATCTCCTCAGCAGCGGTGTGGCTCATCCATCCCACGCCTGCGCCCACCTGCACAATGCTTCCCTCCCTTGAGGGGTACCAATTCTTTTCCTTGACTATGTGGCCCTCTTCCACACACCTGGAGGTGCCCAGGCTTTTAAACTGCTGCATGCACCGGACACATAGCTTGTGGGAGGCATCTGTTTATTATCCATTGGCTCCTGAAATAATTTTTATCCCTTCATTTCAGCTTCCAGGTTTGGTTTACAGAATGAAGTGGCAGATAAAGGATGAACAAAAAGGCTTGGCAATTAACATGTCATAAGATGAGATCAGTTCCCTCCTTCGGGATATGGATTTCACTTTGGCAGTGTTTTGAAAGAACAGACCATTCTGAGCATCCCATTCTTCACATAGGATGAGATGAGGGTTACCAGCCACGACCAGGCTTGTGATTTTGGGAAGAAGGCTAGGAACAAACCTGGGTATTTTTAATTAACACTGATGGAAGTGACAAACATATCCCACTTAACTAGACTGTAAAGCCAGTGTGTCTTAGGACTGACAGCATCAGTATGGTAAATACACATTTCATTACTTCTGGTCAGCTACCTCCAGGATTTAATTTGCTGGTGTCACAGCCTGAGCAGCTGCTTCATGCCTGTGGGGAAATTTGGCAGGGCTTGTGCATTCAGAATCAAATTATTAGCTCCAGCTTCCTTCCTAGTTTATTATTACAAGCTCGTGCCACGATAAAGCACTTAGGGGAAAAAAAAAAAGGGGGGGGGAGGGAGTAAATCCCACAAAGTGATGCCTGTTCATAGTCATTTCCACTGCAGGGATGAGTCATGCTAGTGGAATTTCCAGCCAATAACAAGGTCCCAATTAAAATAAAAAGGAGGGGGGGGCAAGGAGATACAGGACATGTCAAATAAATAATATTCAAAGAGTAGTAAGAAAATAAACGATGTTCAGCAGAGCTCAGAGTTCTCTTTTTAGAAGCCTATATCCTCGGTTTATTCCCTTACAAAAGTATGAGTTTTACATGCAAAGAAGAGATCAAAGTTGCAAACCAGCTACTAATTTTATGTACTTTAGCTTTTGAATATCTCACTCTGAAACACATTGGGCCAGGACCCAATTATCCAAAGTGCAAGCAGCTGCATGTTCTGCTGACTTTAGGAGGAGCTGTGGACGCTCATCAGCTCTGTAAAATTGAAGTACTAGTAACTGCATCACATTATCTAATGCTAGACAAGTGGAATTAAGACCCTGAACAAATCTGACTTCTGCCAGCTCTTATAGAGTAAATCCTGAAGTATCACAGAGTTTTCAAAGTGGGCATCTGAAATCTCAAAGCAGGAATAGATTTTAAAGCTATGAGGATCTACTTCTTAGGGTAAAAGTACCATTATGATACCCTACTGTATAATGGCGGGCGGTCAAAAATAACATCAACGTAAGTATTACAAAACAATACTGAACACTGTATCCAGACCTCTTGGATGCAATACTTGCTGTTTTTGTGAGTGATTCTACTATACTCAGATCTATTTTGTTCCAGTGGCCAATAATGCTAAATTCATTCTAAATCACACAATGACTCACTCTCATCAAGATTCATCTTATTTAATTTCAGGTACTTAAACGGAGTGACTGAGAGCCCGGATGACCTTTTCAGACAGAGTACCTGTGGATTCATCTGAGATCTGAATTATTTTTGAAAGTGCACTCAATAGCCAAAGGGTTCATGCTCTCGGCTCGGCAAAATTCCTGCGGTTCTCTGGTACCGGGCACAGTGAATCCAAACCTTATAGCAAAGATAGGACTGGGATCCAGACTTCCGTATCTCGGCCTCTGCTATAGTCTTGCAGTGGTACCTCCACAGAAAGCACATAGAAAATTCCATAAAATAAACAATATTGCAAAACATACATAAAAGCCATGCCACAGTATTTTTGCACCAGCTTCCTAAATGTATTTGTTTCTTCTGATGGTGACAAACAATACTGAAGAACAATTACAATAAAAATGTAACAAAAATTTTATCCAGAAATTGAAATCTTATCTCCACTAAATATACTATGCACTTGCTGGAAATTTATGGTTTCGTGTAAGTCACTGTGCAGGGAACAGAGTCAAATTCTGGCCTTTTTAAACTGTTTTACTAATTTACTCTATTTTATAAAATTCTCTCTCTGTGCCAGCAAGAGACTTCACAGATTTGGGATGATCCCAGCCACCTTCCAATCCTTTATAGCTAGAAAAATGAGAGGTCCCTAAAACTCCCTTCTGTTGCAATGTGAAGTCACCATTCGGAACAGGCAACAGACTCTGGTTTCAGTCAATGTAGCTGTGTTCTGAAGTACTTCAAGTCTTTACTGTAGATGAGCCTTCAGGTTCCCACGTTGCTTCCATTACCGCTGCACCACCTGGCTCAGCCCAATACCTTATGTAGATGAGACTTCAGGTTCCCACGTTGCTTCCATCACTGCTGCACCACCTGGCTCAGCCCAATACCTTATCTTTCTTATTTTCACAGCTCCCTGCTCATCATCACCACGGAATATTTTCTGCTAAATGCTGCAACACCAAACCCTACACTGTTTATGTTCCACACCCAGCCTCTTTACTCTTGTTTCAAAGGCTCTCAATGAAAAAAACATTTCATATGACTGAAACTGATACGGTTTCACAAAGACACTGGCAGTCTCAGAAAAAGCAGTTCTCATATCCACGGCCCAAGAAAGATCATCTATGAGCACAGATAAGCTCTGGGTGGAAACTGCCCCACACTGAGGCTTCTTTGGCACGGTTAGCTATCATTATTAGACCCTATAATTTTAATTAAAAAGGCAAAGTCATCCTTCTAGAATTTAGGGAAGAAAGTACATCCTGCGCTTTCCACACGTTCCAGTGAATTCTGGAGCAGGCACAGATTTGGCGAGTGTTGACTCCAAGAGGAAAGGATTGTTTGAAATGGTCTTCAAGAGTGCTAACAAAAATGGTACGGATTTGTAACAAAAATGTAAAGACTTGTCACAAAAACATAAAGACTTCTCAAAAATAAGGATATTTATAGCTCGGGCTTTTGTTTTTACCTATAATTCTGCACAGGTTGTGCAGAGAACTTCCCTTAATAAATACTCTTTGGAAGAAATACTCCATGGGACAAATGGAAACCCTTATCTTCAAGATTTTCCATGTAAAAAGGAATATTTTAAGAAGAGAAAAGATACCAAAAGCAGGAGTTCTCAATAATTTATGATGTTTGATTCAGGGTAACACACCACCATTTCTGGCATGCTGCTCTATGAATAGTGTCCTCAGCACTGTTGCCATTCTCAGTCTTAAAAAGCCAGTAATAACAATCTGCTAGTCATATTTTACAAACGAACGTCAATATTTCTTTGTTCTGGGAGACAGTTTTAAAGGGACAGGTATGTTTTTCCCTTCCTGTGCACTGATCCAGAATATCAGGGAGTTTTTTAAGTGAGCGTCAATACTCTATGTACAGTCCATCACATTTTGCTACCATTCTGAAGTTAATAACCTACTTTAGAGGTACTGGAAGGAAATCTTTCCTGACACTATCAACTGCTATTATGATAGCATTAAGTAAATGCCAGAATGCTAAATGTGTGAAAAAGAAATGTTTGCATTCAGCAAGGCTAATACCCTTCATGTATTGCCTTCTCAGCATATCCAATATCTAATAAGTTGTTGCTAAATAAATATTTCCATCCCATTTTTCTAGTGCAAACTGGAGAGGGCAAAACCCAAGCACCGTGATGCAGAGACCTCAATGCTGACAAAGTTTAAACCTATGTGAGAGCATCATGGATGGCATGTCTCCCTATTATGGACCCTACCTAACTGCACATATACACCCCAAATATGACCAGAATTCACTCTCCCATGTGGATGTACCCGAACACATACACATGCCAAATGAACCATGTGCTTTAATTAAAACCCATCTTCTCTCTTGAGCCTGTATATGAATAACAGAAAACAAAAAAGGGCACAGGAAACATATTACACTGACTCATCAACTCCCTTAACTCTGTCAAACTGGTCCTTGTAGTGATCAATCTTGTCCTCTGTCTCTGGGAGAACATTTACAGCAAATTTCTACCTGAACAAGCATAATCTGATCAGAGTTGTACATAGGCCAAGTTCATGTTAGGTGGCTCCTCTGTTAAATTCCAAAAGGGAGAAGTTAGGGGGAAAGGAAAAGAAAGATTACTTTCTAGAAACAGGAGTTAACTGAACAGTATGCTCCACATCTACATTACCCTAAGAATATAGATACTGTCCATCAATTAAGTGTTTTCACAGCACAGCAACTACAGGTCAAAACACATCCAAATATGCTTCAGTTCCCTCTCCATCAGAGAGGAAAGAAGATGGAACAGATCACTCCAGGAAAATGCTGAAGAAGGCAGAGTGAGTGAGAAATTCATGTGAATTTTGAAGAACTGGATTACTAGAAAGAAATCTCCTTTTCCATGGTGTCAAACGATCCTTGAGGTGTCTCACATTTCAAAGTGTCCTATGGGAGATGAGAAGGAACACTGGAGGAGACGTGTCTTCTGGATGAAGAAGGACAAATTCATTCATGCTGTTTAGTGTATCAGCTCCAAAACTGTGGATTCTCCTGTGCAAAGGACGGACATCTGTAATACAAGCTTCTGATGCTGTAACAGCTTCTGAACAGCTACTGATGCTGAAAGGTGACATTAGAAAGTTACTGAAAACTCCTGATGTTCAATAGAACGCAAAGACTGATGCTGCACCATGAGAAAACTACGACCATGACGTGATCCATCACTGCTGTGCAGCTGAGAGGACCTGGACTATGCTGGTGTCAGCTGAACTTCATCTTACAAGCTCTGCAGAGAGTAATTGAGTGGGAAATGGTGGAAGAGAACAAGACCTTCTGTCCTCCTCGTGTTAATCTATAACAAGAGAACAGACTAGATGCCAATGACTAAACTTATAGACAGGGACTACTCCAGGAGCCTAACTCCTGTTCCATAACTCCAAGTGATTTTAATGGGAATTAGGCACCAAAGTGCTCTTAAGTATGTTCTGAGACTACTAGGGAGGTTTGCAAATTTGAAATATGAGGCTGTTAACAGAAAAAAAATAATAATTTTCTGTTTCAAATCATTTTTTCTGACACAAAGAATCCAGAAGCAGATGAGGGGTCCATTTTGTCCCCATCTAAGCTGCTGACTTCAGTTTGGTCTGGAGTTAACCTCAAACAAGTCATCTGCCTTATTTGTCACTTTTTTCTACCACTCCCTGCTCATCCAGCCCCCTCCCTGCCCCCTGAACAAAAAGGTCCAAACACCCACCACACCTTCTTCAAAGGTCACAGGAGCCACGGCAGAGTCAGGGAAAAAAAGTCTAAAACGAGATCACCAGTCTTCCTGTTCCATGCTCTAAAACACTATCTTTCTGCCCAAAGCCATAACCATAATATGGCTATGGCCACCCCCTGAAAGATTGCTTACTCAGGTACAAGCACAGGTTTATTTTGTTTTCCGATCCAAGTGGAACCTGATATTCTGCGCTTTGATCACCCTGTTGTGTTCACTTGTTCTCTAAACTGGTAAAAGCTGGCAAGATGAACAGCTGAGATTTTTCTCATGTTATTTATACATAGTTCCTGTGGTTGAATGTTTTTTTCTTGCTAAAGTATTTGCCGTGCAAGTTTTCTGGGGGTGACTGTTTCACTTGGCAGTGTTTTTTTTTCTCTTCCCTACCTGTGCTCAGCGAGAGGCAAGCAGCCAGTGCCATTTCCCTGATTACTACCAAGAGATGAGCTCTGTAAGTCTCTGTACGGCACAGGGTCAATTGCAAATCGACACAGAACATTTCAGTTGTTGCTACAGCCTGATTTTCAATTCATTCCTAGCGTGGCTTTAGGCTCAGCTCAGCCATTCGTACTGATTTGATAAATTCCTACCCGCAGAAAAGTTCTCCATTTCACTTACTGCTGGCAACGTGCTGCTCGGTAGTCACGAACACTGCCAAGCTCCCTAATGCTGCAAAAACTCACAGCTTGTCACTGCCACCTTCCCCTGCGGGGTAACTCCAGCAGGATTGATTTGGCCGGAGTGTATCAAGTGGTTAGTTTTTAGTGCAGCTGCCGCAGGCTGACTTGAAGGAAGCGAATGAGAGGAGCGAATACAAAGAGCTTAGGAAATGGAGTCAGGACCCTCAGCTGTGGGGCGAAGTCCTTTCAGGTGTAAGACATGCCACCCCACCTGCCCAGAGGAAGAGCCTGACCAGGGGAGAATGGCTTCTGTTAGCTACCAGAGTCCAGGTTACCAAGTGTTATATGGCTTCCATGAAAGAGATAATTTGGCTACAACATCCTCTCCTAGCAGTTTGATGGCTTCAACTTGGAAGGCAGAATATTCTGCAACAGTGTCTAGCAGATCAGGAAAATAATAATTCCTTCTACTTTGATATACAGCCACCAGATTTATGCTTCACTGGGATCCACTCATGTGCTAGCACAACAACTTGCTTAAATATTCTGCATATCTCTGCATGTACAACTAAAATACAGATATCCTACTACCTTAATGACATATCGGTCAGAACTTCTATGCTGAGACTTCTGTACTTTGTGTGGGATTCACCTGGCTTTGTTTAATCAAACTAAAAATTTGGCATACAGTCAAACCTCATCATCTAGGCACCCTCTGTACTCTGTAAGGAGAGACAGATCTGAAGAATTTAATTTACCCAGTTAGGATTAAACAACCTGCATTGTGCAGATGTTTTTCTCTCTCTGGGCACCTTACTCTTAAATATCAAGAGTCAGATGAGACCAGAAACATTAGTTGTGTATGATGGCAGCTGCAACTCCGATTTGTATTGCCATTTTTATATATTATGACTCCTAATCTTTTCTGTCTAAATCAATATTAAAAAGTTTAAATTTTGTTTAGCTAGTCTCTTTTGCAGCAGTATAAAAGTATGTGATGGCCATGGCTGAGCAAGGGATATAACTTCAAGCATACAAAAGGTCCTACTCAGCAAAAGATGTAAGCACGTTCATAAATCCTCTGCCGACGTGACAAAGGCTGGCCCTGTGTACAAGAATCAATCAGGAGATCAAGGTCTCTCTTCCTGAGTTGCCAAAGAGCAATAAACCTCTGAATCTTCCTTCTTATTTGTTTTGTGCCTTTTATGAAGTGAGGTTGCTAAGAAGTCATTCAAACGACAATAGAAGTCTTGGTTCGTTAAGTGATGCTGAGCACCCTGTTCTGCAGGTTTGGTACTCTCATCCTACAAATTATTATTCCTTGCTGCTGTCGTGTGGTTTTACACTTGGCAGTTCTTCAGTGGCCAACAGGGATGCAGATAAACCTTTATAAATACATTCATCAGCCTAGTATCTAAGGCTGAGGTAGCTCAGCAATAACAGTATGGAGAGCATACAGATTAAATTTCTAGCTAGTTTGGCAGTTACAAACCCTTTGAATGCAGAATTTCTACAATTAAACTTCAGCTATTAGCTTTCTTTTATGTATCTCTTTTTTAATACCCGACAGAGCTTTTCCCCAGGCATGACAATGGCTAGCCAGGCAAGAGAAGGCTTCACACACTGAGAGATGAAACTCAGCTGAGACAAGGGTGTGTGGAAATCATCAATGGGAAGTCTGTTCCCTAAAGTAGAATTGACTGCAAAATAAAAATATGTAATTTTAGAGCATTGTTTCCTCATTTTAACTCAAGATGCTAATCCTTTTTTGTCTTTTCTGAAAGAGAGGTTTTTAAAAACAGCATGACCTTAAATGAGGCAATATGACCTTTCCCAGACCTACCCCACAGTAAATATTTACTGAGTTTTATTTCATAGGCATTAACGCATTGGTAATATCAAAAGCTTTCAGGTCATTAGACAATGCAATATATAACATTATCATTGTGACATATAAAAATATGTGCAGTTTAAAAGTGATAATGATTTTCTTTCCTACTTAACTTCTAGATATGAGTTCACCACATATCAGTTTATGCTGCTGTTTGATTCTTCCATTTTATGAAGTATTTCTGCCACCAGTGAAAGGGAAGGATGCAGATAACGACACGGATTTTTTAGCCTTTTCTTCACAGCAAATGGTGTTTCTGTACATAAGCACTGGTCATTTTGCATTACACTAAACCAGGCAAAAAATATTTCAGTCTAGTTGGCTGGCTGCCATTTGCCAGTCTCTTTATGGTCATTTCTCAATAACTGTAATGCAAATATACAAATCTTGCTTATCTCATCAACTCCTGCACTGAAAATTCAAGCAATAAATATACTGCCTAAGCGCCTGCCCTGCTCTTTGACTGAACCAAAACATTCTTCATGATCCTCCTGTGAGCACACTTGCCTGTACTTCAGAAGTATCAAAATTCAAGTTGTTCTTTTTCCACATATGTGACCATGAAAAGCCACTAAGATCAGCTTTGTAAACATATATAGGTGTCTTACGCAAATAAGTATCTACAAGATATTTTAAAAAATCAGAGCGGGGCACCAAGATTTTTTTTTTTCTTTAAAGTCAAGTGTACACCTTTAAATCTCTCCACTTGCAAAGCACAGTCCTGGATGTGCACAGACACACACAACCTACCCATCAGAAAGATGCAAGAACATGCACACTGGCAGCACTGAGCCCCCATGGCAATGCCAAGCCAAATGAGTGGCTTCTGTTAGTTATTTATAGCTTTTTTAAATTTTAAATAATTCTTGGCTTACTCTCCACCAGGTCCTTACTGGTATCCTTCAGCTTTTCCTCCACTTCCACTCCAGCATGCCAATGCAGCAATGAAACCCCTTTACTATCAACATCAGACTGCATTTTTGTTTCTCAGGTCAGGTTTATTCTTCATGTAATTTTTGCCACCGAATTCAGGTGCCAGGAGAGTCAATGGACAGAGGTATGCTCCTGACCAAGCTGTTTCCCATCAGCTTTTAGAAATTTAAAGCAGCAGAGAAGAGAAAAGGTTTGGTGTTTGGCTGGGGTATTTTTTGTGGCTGACTGACAACGCCTTATATTAAGTACTGCAACGCCAGGCATGTCCTTGTGATGATTTCTCCAGTGATACCTAGAGCGCTCAGTATATACAGAAGAAAGTTATGGCTCAATATCATCACTGTGTTTTCTTCAGGGGAGAAGCTTGTCACCCCACTGCGCTGTGAGCTCCCTGCATCTCACAGCACCAAAAGTCATTTCCAAGCAACGGCTTCTCTGGAGACAGCGCAGCGAAACACCAGCAGTAACAGACTGGGTCCACATTCTGAGTTCGCTTCAAGCACCACCATTGGTTTAAATTAGCCCAAAGATTTGGATCACAAACACAATCAGTTACCGCAACTCAGGCTATAAGCAAAAATGTATTTATCTGTGGTAACCAAAGTGGTCATGCTCTGCTTACCCCTGCTGTTGCAAACACATCTCTTAGTATGTGTGTGAAAGAGTGAACATTCATACTTGCATTAAATATTTGCATGTTTAAGAATAAACTATTATCATTTGATGGCATTCTTCTTTCTCATCTTATTCACGCTATAAGCTCTTCATTCAGTTCTTACACTTTGAATACTAAAAAGACCACACCAGAAAAACATCAATGTCCTTATAAAGATGCACAGAAGGGCAGAAAGTCTGCATAAATAGCAAAGACTAGACCCAAACACTAGAGACCATTCTCCAAAGAGCAGGAATATTTTAGTATCGGCCACAGTAAAACAGAAGCTGGAGAAATGTTGGGGTTTTTTTTTCCTGTTTGTCTCTACTTGAAAGGGGAAAAAAAAGACATGCATGAGTGATGGTAATGGAAGACCTATTTGTGTCCAATTCACTGGAGAAACAGTACAAGGACATATCATCCTTGTGAAATGATTTGCCCTGTATTCCTTGAGCCAGATGAAAGTCCCATTATGTACAAAGTAACATGTGCAGATGAATACAGATTTGGGAGATCTATTATTCTCTCAATACACACTCCCTCGGTGTAACTCGTCTTCACCTCTGTCATAAAAAAA